AGGCAGAAACTGAAGGACGCTAATACCTGCAGTTTGGTAAAGGAACGTGTCCTCTCTTTTAAGGCAAAGGCGTCACAATTAAAGGTGCACTGTATAACTTTTCTGGTGGAGGGTCCGCAAACTGCTTGTTTCCATGGAGATGTCTTTGCTGTGCCTGGAATTTTCTACAGCACGGCATTAAACATATCAATTTCCAAAAAAACAAGTAGGTGACGATACAAGACCAAGTTACAGGTCAGATCTGTGGAGAGGAGACTACGCTGACAATGAGAATGCATGTTTTTTGAGCAATAAAAATATCTGTAAATTACTTAACATTACAAGATTGATACGTTTTATGGCTAGGGGTGTAATGATATCCAAGTCTCACGATACAATATCGTCACGGTATGAAACTCACGGTACAGTATTTATTGTGATATTGTGGGAAAGCTCACGATATGGTGGGGAGGTTCACAATCATGGTCTATGTAGTTCCCCCGTTTTATAGCTATTGCTGCACCATAGTCTTAATTTAAGAAAAGAGACTTGTAATTTGATATATTGTGATGGTCCATGATATTATTGTGAGAACTTTGACGATACGATATCACGATATTTCAGTTATTGTTACGTCCCTATTTATGGCATACTGTGGAACATTCCAGGCAGAGCAGTAACATCTCCTTGGAGACAATTAGGTGTCAGACCCTCTACCTGAAAAGTTGCATAATGCACCTTTAAGACAAGAAGTAAACTGAAATAACTATTTGAGTTGCAATAGGAAATTGCAGTAAGGAATGCTGCAATAACAGTTCAGTGACAAAATATGCTCTACAAAACTAAAAAACAACAAAAATCTTGTTTTGTTATGTAAAAACCTACTAACTCTTGAGCTTAGCCCTCTAGACACATGCAATTTAATGCATGTTTAGCATTTCATATTGCAGTACTCAACACTTAGGCTTGTTTAAAATAGTTTTTTTTTAAGTGAATTCAGAAATTACAAATCAAATAATAATTGCAATGTTTGAATTCAGCCTGATGGAAGGCTTATCCGCCTGCTACAATGAAGGCTGCAATTAATTGTATACATTCTACATTCTTCTTTTTTTTTTTTTTTTTAAATCACAATGACGATTATCAGAACAAATATTATGGCAATCCATCAGAAGCATGCTAAAACAAACCTGTAAGTAAATGTGGTTGGTTGTTGCTGAAGTATTTTGCAAATGTGAGAGTGAATGTTTACTAACCGGTACAAAATTATTTAATTATAACAATCTTTTTTAAACCTCCTTTTGCCTCCTTTACATGTTTTTTTTTAATACTATTTTCTCCTGGCTTTATTATGTGACAGGACAAAGCTTCTTCACTTAATGGCTTCCTGTAAGAACAAAAGACACAAGGTACAAAGGTGCTGACAAAATACAAATCGTTAACATCAAACCAGTGGAAGGATGCTCCTGTCAAACCGTAAACATAGAACTCCACGGGCGGCCGACCACACGGGGGGCACGGATGAAAGCGTTCACAGACCATGTAAATGAATGAGGCCTATGTGGAGTTATAAATAGCATCCACACAACACTGGGCCTGACAAGACAAGCCCTCAGCTCACCCCTCTGCCCATCGCTCGCTCCTCTCAACACCACCAAAATGTGTCAGATTTCATTTTGGTTTGGGCATGTTGGAGAAAATGACACAAAGGGAGTGAGATTTTGAAATAGGTGTTTTTGGAACTTTTGACATGAAAGATAATTAAATATTGATTGTGTGATTGGTCAGCTGAACAAATTATGGATCTTTAATGATAGAGAATGCATGTTGTGTAAAACAATAATTTCATGATTCATTTTTTAATCTATCTATTTATTTTTACTCCTACCAATATACTGCATATAATAAAGTGTTGTGGATGTGGATAGAAGTATAGTTTAAAATAAAACTAAATGTGAATTGTGTAACTTTTCTCTATGGAGATGTTTTTGCTTTGTCTGGAATGTTTCACAGTATGGTATTACACCTTTCTATCTTCATGGAGACCAAACCAGACAAAGTTACAGGTCAGATCTGTGGAGAGACAACCCCGCTCACAGTAAGAATGTCTGATTTTGTAGGAATTTTTGAGCTATAAAACCATATGTAATTGAAAAAATCTGAGGTTGAGCTGTTTAATGCCAAACTGAGGAACATGACAGACAAGAAAGAGCAATGGCAAATCCTATAACTATGACTACCAAACCAAAACGTTACCAAGTTAACAAGGACCAAGTAGCTCTCAAACACAAAATATGTTACTAAACCAAAGGAGGACAAAATGTGAAAATGTTTACTCTAAATTAAGCAAAATTTCAATGGATGCAATTAGCACATTGCAAAGGCAGCAGTTGTTGAAGTACCATCATTTCTTCCACAAACAAAAGAACACGTTATCCTTATATGCTCCTTATTCTGCATAAAAACTGCTAACCTGGTAGTTTAAATGTAGACATGTTCTGAAATGTGATTCTTGTATTAGTTTGTCTGTTCATATTTAAGTTTTTTTTTTTCCAGTTTTTTATTAAAATGTGAACTTTGAACTGAATTCTGTCATTAAAATGTAAAGCGCAAATCTAGTTACAATCGCAATACTTGTTTTTTTTCCTCCCAAATAATTCCAACCAAAGCTTGAATCTCATATGCCTTTTGCTAACATTGAGTAATATTTTCCAGTCTGATGCATGTCTATACAAACACCAGACTGTGACCACCCCTTTAAGCGTTGTTTCTTTAAATAGGCCGTGCACATTTTTATATCTAAGCACATTAAACATTTAGTCCTTTTGAGGATGAGTTGCCCTCGGGGATAAAGGGTGAATGAACTAAAACCTCAGTCAGAGTACCCAGAGTGACCCTGCATTACTCTGCACTATCTCCTGTACCAGAAAGTTCAAGTCGTGTTATTATTATATCTTTTATCTTTCATCAGATGCTCCTGGGCCGATGCAGGTAGGATTTCACAAAGACAGGTTAATTTTCCCTTATTACTGCAGCTCCCACTTTGAGTTATCGCTTTCAAATTAGGTTTCAGTTTGCTGCAAAAAAATCTGATTCCAAGTCCCTTTATTATTGACACGCGAGAAGGAATATGGCACTGATACTTTGCAGCTGAACTCATCAACATTCCTTGGGGTGTGATGCTAACAGAGAGCACTGCTCTGTAAGAAGCACTGTTACTCAAGTTAGACTTAATCTGAGCTTTGTTTTAAAACAGTTTGACCAGAAAGAGCTGATTTGATTGGAACTACAACAGTTGAGCTAATTTGTGCAGTTAAACAAGTCTCTCAAACATAAAATTACAGTCACGAGCTAAGTAAACAGGAACATGAACACTCATATTGATCACAAACTCCTGAAAATGTGTTGTTTAAATCCTTTTTGTATTATTTTCTTGAGTTTTCAGACTGTTGCAATGGTTATTACTCAAGATGGGGTAAATGGTCTAATTATGTCTAGTTGATGGTTTGTGGTTATTCATATTCATATTTTTCATTCAATTATGTGCTAAAATCCTTTCCAACTGGACTTGTTTTTGTTCTAATATTGTGCAAAACCTTCAATAAAAATAAAGTGACAAAAATATATATATGGGTTTGTTATTGCAAAGTTGTTGTAAACTGTGTAGTCCCTCCAGGTAATTCAAGCAAAAAAAAGAAAAACAAAGAACAAAGCATGATAGCATCGAGACAGTACATTTGCATAGTATTGTACGTCGCTCAGAAGTGTGCCAATATAAAGTGTGTGTGTGCTCCCTTGTTGAATCTGCGGTACAGTCACGCGTAAAGAGCAGCGTGTCATTGCATCAGTGAAGGACTCAGGAGAGAGAGGGTCCCGCTGAGGGGGTCCCACTGAGGCTAGAGCAGGTGGTGCAGAGGTGTATGCTGGGACATCTGGTGGGCTCTTTCAATGAAAGTACAACAGTCTATAGAAAGTAACACGGCTGCAAGATTAAAGGTCGTATATTACGCCAAACTGACTTTTGTGAGTATTAATTAAGCCACATTAAAATGCTGTTACCTCCTCAAAAACATACCTGGAGCTGTTTTGTTTCATTAACACATGTTTGAGCAATCCTTTATTATTAGTCTGTCTGCATCTCCACGGCTCAAAATGATCTATTCCACCTTGTGATGTCATGAGTTTTTAAGTTAACACCTTTACCTTTTGTTCACTAAAGATTGGCAATTACAGGACTGAAATAATCCAAATGAAATGACTCAGGACTAAGGTGTGCCCGCAACAACAGTCAGGCGACCGTAGGCGAAAGGACTGCAGCAGCTCCATGCCACACGGAGGTAATGCAGCCGTCACCCAATCGCGCTTTGCGGACACCCTGCTTAGGTTCTCTCTCTCTTAAATCCTCGAGTACCCGACCTGGTGCAGGACTCTGACCCGAGCTGCCACAGTGAGAGCTGGAGAGATGCAGCGGCATTTGTTCCAAAGCCAAATGTTACTTCTCTCACGCTACGCATGCTATATCCGCCAAGGCACATGTGCATCTGTGCAACAAGCGCATCATGGAAATATTATAATGCCGGGGGATGGGGGTGTGGGGGAGGGGGTGTGATATCATCGCATACCGCGCTGTTGAGCTGCGATGCCGCACGGCAGGAGAAATTCCCTAACTGCGACAGCCCTAAGTAGAAGCAGAAATTCTGGTAAATTACAAAAACACTGCAGCCATCATGAGCAGTCATATTTGTTTTGATACAAACGTATCATGAGATTCTCTGATTGGTTAATACGTCTGTCAAGCTTGCCCATCTGAACACTGGGAGATAAAACCGGAGCACTGACTGTATATCTTTCTATAGTATAAGAAAAGTGGCCAGGTAACTAATATTGTCATATGTTAGTGTAAAAACAGCATCAAAATAAACATTCTCTCAAGCAGATAACACTTCCTCTTCAAAAAATCTCTCTCTATTTTTTTTTTTACAGGAATCCAGTGATCTCATGCTAACTAAATAGAGGCATACCTGCAGGCCGAGGGGCTTCCAGCGCACGTTTCGTAGCAGCGCAGGGGTGGAGCTCAGCGTGTTCTGAGGTCTTTTCTTCAGAGTGAGGATGACTCCGCATGGATCTTCTCTCAGAGCGTTCACCAGGTTCTTCAACTGCCAGCCCACCTGACGACACAGAGGCAGGGTTTAAGAAGATGTGCTAAACCAGACTGAGGAATGAATCAATCATGATGCGGAGAATATGGATAGATCTTATTGATACTTTGCAGTGACATCATGTTGTGGGTTTTCTGTATCTCTATTGGGGAAATGTTTAGTAAAAAAGTTTTAAGATCTGAAAACAAGAAAATGAGGAAAAAACTGATTTAAACATAACATTTTCAGGAGCCTGTGATCAGTTCCTGTTCCTGTTTATGAGTTTGAGTTTCAACAAAAAGTGAGAGTTGACTAGTGCTAGTAAGCTTGTGACTGTAATGTGACTTGTTTAACAGCACAAATCATCTCCCATCTTGTAGCTAAGTCAGTTCATTATGGTCAGAATGTGTTTGAATAAAGCTCAGTTATCCAGTTGGGTAATAGGAGCCATAATGTAAAACCTGCATATCTATAAAACAGCACCATTTGCTCCCTAGTCACAAAAACTGCAAGCAAGCCATCTTCTTCTTACTACATCTACCACTACTTTCATCTTTCAAACTAGTACAGTTTATACAGTGTTAGTACAACTCCAGTTTGCTCAAATCTGCAGTGTCGGCCATTTTGGTGTAAAGAGCCAAAGAAGCATAGCGCTGACTATATTTTTTCTGCTGTTTTTCCTACCCATAGGATTCATCATAGGCTCTGGTTTGGTCTACAGTAGAAGTCCACAGAGACCCACCACACACAGACACACACACGCACGCAGACACACACGCACACACACACAGAGGGTAGAACATTGACCCTATTCTTGACATAATGACGAGCAGTCCATTCGCTTTGTCCCAGTTCAAACTCGAACCCCCAGAAGAGCCACAGGGAGGGCACACAAGGACACTACTGTGGTCATTTATTTTAGATGTGATTCTCTGTTCCAAATGGAAACAAAATGTAGCCCATAACCCGGATGTATTACAGTTCAAATCTGTGGGGAGCTGTCCTATGACTGTGAATCAATATACAGTAGAAGGGGAGAGATACAAGGAAATACTATTAAAGGTACAGTATGTAACTTCCTGGAGGAGACATTTCTTTAGAAATAGAAAGTTAAAACTACACTCCATAGAGAAGTTTTATTCCTTCGATATGGTGAAAGACTATAGCCAAAGGAACAACATTTCCATGAAAACAAGCAAGAGGAGACCCACCAACCCTCCAAGTTGTTCAGTGTTTCGTAGCTCATCCAAGTGGCTTCTTCAGTTCTGGTCAAGTTGCTGGTGGACACTGCCTTACATCTGCTTGAAGGGAGGAGCTAACTACACTAAAAACTAGTGCTGTCAATCGATTAAAATATTTATTCGCAATTAACCTCATGAATGTTACAGTTAACTTGTGATTAATCGCAAATTAATCACACATGTTTGTCTTTTGAATAATCATTTTAATACTCTTATCAAGAAAGAAAAAAGGTAAAAATGTTTGTTTACACGTGGCACAGCAGAGCTAATGCTTTTAGCGGAGAAAATAACAACAAAACAAAAACACCAACAACAACTTGCTTTCATTTCGGCACTATTTTTGTCTGAAAATGTACATATTGTGGCTTTAATATCATAATTTGTTATCAGGTGTTGTGTTAAGTTCTAAAACAGAAAAAAATGCAACTGACCAAAGGACTGGCTTACAAAAAGATCTTAAAAGTAAATAAGTTTTGGTTTTCTATTTTTAGACTACGCAGGACATTTCTGAGTGGTTTCTGAATGTAATCTATGTGTCTCTGGAGTCTCTATTAACGAATAATAAACAAAACATAAACAATAAATACATTAAAACACATGGTATTACTGCTAACATAACTGCGTCTAGGTATGACACCACAATAGGCATATCAAAACACAATCACATAAACAAAATCACATTGCTACGTGTTGAATAAACCGGGGGGATCATGAGAAAACAAGTTGGTTGTCAATAGAGGAAAAAATAAATTAAATCTGTCACAGTACAAAATTTAAAACTATATATTTTAGCGATAGGTCCAATAACACAATAAACTATTCAAACAAACAGTAACATATAAATACCTGGTTTAACATGTTTTGACAGTTAAAATCATTACCACTGTCAATTTCATTTCACAAAGAGGGTCCTGAGTTGGTCGAATACATTTGAGACCTGAAACGTTTGTGAGCCACTGGAGCACCTAACCCAGTTGATCTCGCAATATTTCCATTTAAGTTTTAGCAAATGATATAAACAAGTTGCATACTGACACTGTATAACTTGAGTGTTTATCCATTACAGTATTGCTCCATAAAGCCAGTCTAATGAGGCCAGTTTAAAATGGTTGTGTTATGCAAATATGCAGAAAGCAAAAGGAGCCAACCAAAATAATACAGGAACTTAAACTGCTGCTCAAGATGTTTTTCAATTCCCAAGAGGCTTCATTATTTTCCCAGATGCTATTACCTCCATATAATTATCTTGTCTCTTCAAACAATCACTTTGTTATTTGAGCAAAAATCCACAATTAACTTTTTTTTTTTTTTTTTTTTTTTTTACTTCAGAGTCTGTGTCCTGTTTTGAAGTTGGACTCAAACACAAAGCTCATGAATAGACATGAAGACAGTACTGCAGCTAAGTAAGTGGGATAGGGCTGTAATGGTTTTGTAATGCAATAGAATTTGTTCTTTCCAATCTTTTCACTAATCTATTTTTAAATGAGGCAGATTTGGAGTAAATATAAATAGTGAAGCAGTGTTTTCTAGATGTTTTCTGTTTTATAATAAGATGAAATGTTGAATTCATAATACATAGTACAGATATTTTTTTTTAGATTGACATTAAAGGTGCACTGTGTCACCTCCTTCTGTCCATGGAAACATCGCCTGGAATGTTCCACAGTATGGCATTACACTTATTTTTCTCTACAGACACAGCAGGTGACAAAACCAAGAGGGTCAAGAGTCATATCTGTGGAGAGGTGAGACCACTCACAGCAAGAACTCAAGTTTTTAGGTAAATAAAAACAATTTTATGCAAGATGGATACGTTTAATGTCATACCGGGATATTCCAGATAAAATATCTCCACAGAAACAAGCAGGTGGCGGACCCTCTACCAGAAAAGTTACACAATCACCTTTAATTCTATTTCATCCTGAAGATGGCATTTTCTTATTCAAGTAGTTGAGCAACATTTGTTTTCCCTAGTACAGATTGTAAAAGCAGCTGTCAATAAGATAGCGCTGTGTGCTGTCTGCATTTAATTATTTAAATGCTTCATTATCCAAGAACCAAAAAGTGCACTGTTAGCATGCTAGCTGTTGTTAGCTTTGCTGTGATGACAAAACTGGAGTTGTTAAACGTACTTATAGACTCAGTGTAGTGAATTATTAGTTACTAGTTAATACTAGTTTTGTTTTTACACCTTTTTTAAGATAAAAAAAAAAATAGCTGCCACACTGAACGTTGCAGTCAAACACATATTTAGCAGATGTATACATGTCTTTTCACAGGAAAGTGTCTTGCTCAAGGATACAGCATCTTTGTAGTGAGGAATACCTGAGGATTGCCTTACTCTACAACATGGCACAAAAATTAAAGCTAAAGTTACACAAAATTAACTCTTGTGAGCTTTAAGACATATTATAATGTTGTAACCTCATTACAATGTACCTGGAGCATGTTTGAGTAGCACTTGTTTGTGAGTTAAACATGTGTGAATGAAGAAAAACACAACTCCAGGAATGCTTTTTGATGAGGACACAACATACATCAGAAAATAGCGTAATATGAGCCATTTAAGGTTAAATTATTCATTAGGGAAAGTAGAACATGAATGCATATTTTAAACTAAACATCTTACTCAGTGAATGAACCAAGTCCGAACAGTGAGGAGCCAATCATATCAAACTGAAAAGGTTTTGTGCCAAGCGTCCTGTAATCTGCTGCAGCTCCAAACTTCATTAACCCACATACAGACACGATCACAGACACAAAGCACCGAGGAGACAGCACAGTCACATCTATAATCCCATTTATTTGGACACAAAAAGTATGGATGGAATTTATGCATCACATTTGAAGTTGCACTGTGTAACTTTTCCTTTGTCTCCCGTGAAAGTATAGATTCATAACTTTAAATACTTTGATTTCTTTGGTAATTATGCTCCTATAAGGTCCTATATTATGCAAAATTTACTCTTGTAGGCTTTAATCAATATCATAATGTTGTTACCTCCTCAAAAATATGGAGTTGATGTTTGAGTAATCCTTTATATTGGTCTATCAGCAACTACAAAGCTCATAATGCTCTGTTCCACCTTGTGATGTCATGCAGTGGCAGTTAACAGCTACATTTTACCTTTAATTTAGAAGAGATTCACAATACCAGGGTTGATATTATACAAATGTTTCTAGTGAAGGTGTATGGAGTTCAAAAATACAGTGGAGCACTTCCTGTATTACCACATGACATCACAAGGTGGTGTTTTCAGTTTGAGAAAAGTTCAGTTTTAGAAAACTAAATAAAAATATGTAGGGTTTGTGTGTTGCACATGTATGAATAAAATAGAACACAACTCCAGGTATGTTTGAGCGGCGAAAATGAAAATGTTTTGGTAGGTCTGAGGCTCACCACTGTCTGATGATTGACCTGGATCACCTCGTCACCCGCGTGGATCTTCTTGCACTGGTCGGCTGGAGACTTAGGAGAAAGAGAGAGAGAGTTAGAAAAACAAAAATACTGATACTTTGGGGGATATAAGTGGGGAAAAGGGAAAGCAAACCATAAAGGAGGGACGGAGAGAGGGACATAGAGAGAGATGGGCAGCGGCCGAAGAGAAGAGTGGAGAGGATAACGAGGTGAGGGAGAAACAGAGAGAAGATGAAAGAGACAGTAGAAGGACGGATAGAGAAAAAGAGAGAGAACAGGAAATGAAGAGGGAGACAGGAGGTAGGAAGAGAGAGAAAGTGAAAGGGGAGAAACAGAAGGAGGAGGATGAGAGAGTGGGAGAGAGTGATGTGGAGCAGAGAGAGGAGATTAGGGAGAAAGAGAGAGAAGAGAAAAAGTAATAGGTAGAGGTGAGAAAAAGAGAGAGACAAAAGAGAAAATGGGAGTGGGAAAGACAGAGAGAGAAATGGGGGACAAAGAGAGATTTGGGGCACAGTGAGAGGTAAAGGGAGAGAAAAAGGAGAAAATGATGTGAATAGGGGAAAGAGAGAGAGAATGAAATATTTGAGGACACAGGAGATGGTTTCATCACAGTATAAATACCAAATACCTACTACTGAATACCAAGAATCATGTTTCAGTCAAATTGAAAGAGGAGACTCACGTTCTCTGTGGTGCCGGTGATAACATGGAGTCCATCATAAGTGGATTTGATGTACATCCCCTGTGTCACAAGAGCAAAGAGAAATAAAGTTATTTATTTAGACTTAAAGATGTATCAGGGTATCCCCAGGTTTTACTACCCCAAATTTAAGACTTTTTAAAGACCTTTTTAAGACCACATAAATGAAAATTAAGACCAACGTCGCACCCATTATGAGAGTGAAAAACACCAGATCCAGTTCTAATAATGACCAACCAACTACAGTACTATATCTAGAATCTAAGGCTACGTTCAGACTGCAAGGCTTAACGCTCAGTTCGGATTTTTTTGTGAAATCCGATGTTTTTGTGAGGTCATTCACATTTCCAATTAAATGCGACTTGTATGTGATCTCCAGTGTGAACAGTAAACAACCCAAAAGTGTCTCGCATGGGCAATGGAGGACACGATGACCTCAGCAGCGAGCGTGCTCTGTGTTTACGAAAGTTGTCCAAACATGGACACGAGCATTGAGCACCTGGCGATTTTAAAGTTCCTCTTGTACCGGAGCCAGAACATGTACAACTTACTTGTTTTAAGGAGGAGATTGAGAAGGAGAAGGACGAGGAACGTGTGGATGCGGTTACATAGCCAAGAGTGGTGAGTGGTGATGTGCTTCACTTCAGTGACATGGAGTCCATTAACAATTTTCGCCTACTTCAGCGCAGAATAGTGATGTTTGTGGCTTGTTGATAACGTGTAGGTGGGATGAAGGCGCTTTGGCCGTTCAGACTGAAGTCGCATGTCAAAAGATCAGATATGTATCAGTTTTAGGACCACATATCGAAGTGACCTAGGTTGCATTTGAAAAAATCAGATCTGTGTCGTTCAGACTGTCATTAAAAGATCAGATACAGGTCACATAGGGGCTAAAAAATCGAATCTGGGTCACTTCCGGCTGCAGTCTGAATGTAGCCTAAGAGCCACTGTGGAATAAACGTACACTTCCCCATGATCCATCCAAAGTCTTCCTTCACTCTACTGTTTGTTTACTCATTGCTGCTGGCACCAGAAACCAAAGTATTGTTTGCACACACTCCAAATTAGACGTTCATTCACGTGACATGATTTCACGTTGTTGTTGTTTTTCCCTCCCTCCATTTAACATTGCGCTGCATCAAACTTTGTGCTAACTGCGAGGAAGCTACCGTTCGGAAAACCGCTAAGCACCGCTGCATTGGTTGAGTATGTGGAATGTGTGAGAGGCGTACACCAAGCACGTAATCCCAGCGCACAGGCAAGTCATTTACGCTAGAAACGTAGGGAGTTTGACTGACAACTTAACAGCCAATAGATAACCAAGTAGTCTAATTATCTATTGGCTAATGTTAAGCTGGCCCATCATGTCCACAGTTGATGGATTTTCATTCTTTTTGTAACAATGACAAGGCTGCTGCATCTCTATAATGCTAGTTTGAACTTTAATTCTAAACAATATATATAAAATACTCCATACAACCTTTAAATCTATATTTGCTACACAATCGGGAAAATTCAGAATGGAATTTATAGTAATGTATATTATAGACAGAGAATGGGCACTCTTGCACTTGAAAAAGGTCAAATTCTATTACATTTAATGAGTTTCGGACATCATAGAAAAATAATTGCTATTGGATTGGATCAGAAATTAGCGTTTAAATTGAGTATTACTGTGCAATTTTCTTCTACAGTTAACCTCACTCAACTGGATTTCATATTTAGTATGATTATAATTTAGTTACTGGCATACCTCTGTGTAACACTGGTGTACCTCTGTGTGGCATACCTCTGTGTAACACTGGCATACCTCTGTGTGGCATACCTCTGTGTAACACTGGCATACCTCTGTGTAACACTGGTGTACCTCTGCGTAACACTGGCATACCTCTGTGTAACACTGGCATACCTCTGTGTGGCATACCTCTGTGTAACACTGGCATACCTCTGTGTGGCATACCTCTGTGTAACACTGGCATACCTCTGTGTAACACTGGCATACCTCTGCGTAACACTGGCATACCTCTGTGTGTGGCATACCTCTGCGTAACACTGGCATACTGGCATACCTCTGCGTAACGCTGGCATACCTCTGCGTGGCATACCTCTGTGTAACACTGGCATACCTCTGCGTAACACTGGCATACCTCTATGTAACACTGGCATACCTCTGTGTGGCATACCTCAGCATAACACTGGGACACCTCTGCGTAACACTGACATACCTTTGCGTAACACTGGCATACCTCTGCATAACATTGGCATACCTCTGCATAACACTGGCATACCTCTGCGTAAGACTGGCATACCTCTACGTAACACTGGCACACCTCTGCATAAAATTGGCATACCTCTGTGTAACACTGGCATACCTCTGCATAACATAAGTATTGCCGGTTACAATAATACACATCATTTCGAAATTCAATAACTCTTCAGTTGAGTGATTGTAATGTGCATGTATGTTTGTGTGTCATACCAGGCCTTCGTTTGGTAAGATGCTGGTGAGATGGACCACCTCCAGATGAGCAGACTGAGACACCAGAGAGTCCGACGAGAGGGAGATGATGTGGTCACATATCCCTGCTAAGGTTTTACACTGCAGAAAGGAGAGATGGAGGGATGCAGAGGGAGACAGAGAGGGGGAGAAAGCGAGAAAGATGGGACAGATTAAGAGAGAGGTAAGGGAGAAAAAAAGGATGATTGAGAGAATCAGAAAACGATTGAGGGTGAGGAGAGAGAGACAGAGACGAAGAGGGGACGCAGAAGGTCAAAGAAGAGAGAGAGAAGGGAGTGCGAGAAGAGATGGCAGGGAGGTGAGACAGAAAGAAACAGAGTCAGAGAGAAGATAGGTGAAAGGGAACGAAGGGAAGGGAGGAGAGAGAGAGAGAGAGAAAAGAGAGGGTGAGAAATATAGTAAAGGATAAAAGGGGGGACAGTAAGTGAGAGAGAAACCGAGAACAGCAAAGAAGTGAGGATTGAGAGAAAGAGAGAGAGAAAAAAGGAAAGATGAGATGAAGGGCAATGAAGAAAGATAGATGAAGAGCATGAGAAAGAGAGAGATAGTTACAGGAAAAAAGAGGGGAAGGCAGTGAGGTGAGGAGGTAGAGAGATAGAGAGATGAAGGACAACGATAAAGAAAAAAAGAGAGAGAAAGTTATTACTATTGCTTTCTGGTCCTTGGGGTTGTTTTGACCTGTGCTGTATGAGGTGAAATATAAAATCATGTCTTCAGATTGTCCCACTTTCCCATCAGTCCCTCTGTCTCCTGTCAGACCCCCAGACCGGACCCCCGGGCTCAGACGGAGCAGAGACAGACCACCAGCCCCGAGTGTCTCTGTGACATTTGAATACAGCATAGACTCTGACTGTGGTAAATTGTACACAGCTTTAAGGGACGTCTTATCATTTATGTAAACAGGATATGATCTGACATAATGTAGATGACCAATGAAATGGTTACTACTACTACTACTACTACTACTACTACTACTAGGCAAGGCAAGGCAAGTTTATTTGTGTAGCACAATTCGTACACAAAGTAATTCAAAGTGCTTTACAGAATAAGAAATACATTAAAATCATAATAAAAACAAATCAAAACATAAATAATCATGAAGATTAAAATTAAAAAAGAGAGACATAAATTGGAGAGAAGAGTGCGGAATGAAAACCTTTCAGTTATATGCACAGTTAAACAGAAATGTTTTGAGCCTGGATTTAAACAGCATCACAGAAGAGTCTGTCTCACATGTTCAGGAAGACTGTTCCAGGTTTTAGCTGCATGAACCTGAAACACTGACTCCCCTTGTTTAATCCTGACTCTGGGCACCAGCAGGAGGCCGGTCCCTGAGGTCCTCAGAGTGCGAGATGGTTAATATGACACTAACATGTCACAGATGTACTTTGGTGCTCGGCCATGGAGAGACTTGTACACAAGCAGAGCTGCTTTAAAGTCTATTCTCTGAGGCACAGGAAGCCAGTGCAGAGACCTGAGCACAGGACGCATGTGCTCATACTTCCTAGTTCGAGTAAGGACCCGAGATGCAGCGTTTTGGATGTTCTGCAGCGTCTCACAGCTCGTTTGGAGAGACCAGTGAGCAGACCATTACAGTATCTAACCTACTGGAGACAAACGCATGGATACGTTTCTCCAAGTCTGCTTTAGACAGTAAACCTTTGATTTTTGCTATGTTTTTTAGATGGTAAAAGGCTGCAGATGTTATTGATTTGATGTGGCTGTTAAAGTTCAAGTCTGAGTCCATTATTACCCCAAGATTTCTTGCCTGATTTGAAAGTTTTAGAGAGCGAGACTGGAGGTGACTGCTGACACTGTCCCTTTGTTTCTGTGGACCAAACACTATGACTTCCGTCTTGTCAGAGTTTAGCTGGAGAAACTATAGTATAACTATACTATAACTATAACTATATAAATACTACTACTACTACTACTACTACTACTACTACTACTATATAACACTACTACAGCACATACTAATAATAAAACTGTTACTACTAAACTACTACTACTACTTCATTACTACTACTTCAGTACTGCTACTAGTGCTACTGTTGCAGTAACTACCACTGTATTGTTGCTAATGCTAATATTACACACACATTACAATGTCAATACTTTGACCATAAGTAGCAGTACTACAACAACTACTCATGACCCACAACAACTACTTAAGACCAACTTTTACAGACCTTTTTCACAAAGACCGCGATGTAGGATTAACGTCACGTACGCCAATGCAATGCTTTTCTATGGCAAGACGTCTGTGGAAATGTCTCGCGTATTTTCCTCCAGCTTCATAAATCTGTTTACCTCATCACCAAATCTTCATCCAACAAGGTCCACAAACGACATAATTTGTCCATGAAGAATTTATCCACAACTATCGAGGTAAGAACGATGAAAACGTATAGTCTAACAATGACTAGCATTAGTGAAATACTCCTGAGCAAAACTAACATTATGGTCACGAATAAAACATAAGTAATAAGTAATTCATTAAAAGTAACTTGTTAACTCAGACTGATTCTAGAACTAAAATTAAAAATGAATTTCATGATGTAGATTTTAGCATAGATAGATAAATTTGTGCAGTTTGAATGCTACAGATGTGCACAGATTACATGTCTAGCATTTAAACTGCACATTTAACCTCTGTCTAGGCTAATATCTATATCATCACATTGATTTTTTATTTAGAATCAGTCTGAGTTAACAAGTTACTTATGTTTATTCATGACCATAATGTTAGTTTTGTTCAGTAGTTCACTAATGCTAGTCGTCATTAGCTTTTACCCTTTAGCCTTGTTGGATGAAGATTTGGTGATGGGGCAGATTTATGAAGCTGGTGGAAAATACACAAGGTATTTCCACAGATATTTTGTCATAGAAAAGCACTGATCTACGTGACATTTATCCTACATCACGGCACTTCCGGACGTTGTGAAAAAAGTCTATTCTCTGACTTTTAACACTGCCTGAGTCGTGTCTGTGTCTTTTATTTATTTTACTTTTTTTACTGCTATTTTATGATTGTTCTGGTTTTGCTTTTATTTGCTTTTACTGGTTTTATTGTTTTAGAACTGGTATGACCAAATTTTAACAATTTACCTTTTTGTTGTCTTCATTTTATGATCTCTGTGCAGCACTTTGCAAACTGTTTTGTTTGTAAAATGAGCTTTATAAATAAAGAGGATCTGGATTTGAACTACTACAAATACACCAAATGTCAGTCTAAATAACAGTTACTAATATTACCACTACGACTACGACTACTACTACTACGACTACAATGACTAGTAGGCCACTGCATCTAATTACTATTACCAGTTTATAAAGAGGAACAGATTCCTTCTTGACAAATAAATGTCCCCTGACACATCATAGCTGCTCACACTGACGATGCAACTGCACTTCTGCCTGTACCAGTCTGGAAGTTTTACACGGAAGAAAATTCACCATCAAAAGGATTCTGGATTCGTTTTGCCTTAAACCTGGACTGTTTTTCAGGCAATTTGTGTTCACTATGCATGCCAGTTCATTTAAACCACATCTAATCTACAGCACTACTACTACTATTACTACTACTACTTGCAACTCCTTCTACAACTACTACCACCACTACTACTACTACTACTACTAACTACTACTACTACTACTACACTACTACTACTACTACTACTACTACTACTACTACTACTACTACAACTACTACACTACTACTACTACTACACTACTACTACTACACTACTACTACTACTACACTACTACACTACTACAACTACTACTACTACTACTACTACACTACTACACTACTACTACTACTACTACTACTACTACTACTACTACTACTACCACTACTACACTACTACTAACTACTACTACTACTACTACTACTACTACAACTACTACTACTACTACTACTACTACTACTATTATTATTATTACTACTACTACTACTACTACTACTACCACTACTACCACCACCAACACCACCACTACTAAAACTATTACTACCACCCCCACCACCACTACCACTACCACTACTGCTATTACTTCTACTACAACTACTACTGTTACTACTACCACCACCACTACTACAACAACTACTAATACTACCTCTACTACCACTACTATTGTTACCACCACCACCATCACCACCATTACTACTACTACTACCACTACTACCAGTACTACTACTACTACCACTACTACAACAACTACTACTACCACCATCACAACTACTACTATCACTAATAATATTATTACTACTTTTGTTTTTCAGGCAATTTTGAGTAAACGACACGTTAATTTATACAACAGCATCTAATCTTGAGTGACTGGAGCTGGCTTGGTTATCAAATCAAAGAGGATATAGGAGTCAAAGAGTGCTTGTTGGGAAATATGCAATCCACTCTATATTTCATAATACTGTGTAGACAAGCTAACATGCACGGCTTGGTCTGCACATGCACCACTGAACTCTGCAACAAATAATCTTCTGATTCGGATCTTAATGAGTAATTACAGGATTAGAGGGAGCAGGAAATAGCAAAAGGGCGCCTGCATGTATAGAGAATTAGCACACATAAACTCAGACTTATCTGCGGCCTCTGTCTCACATAGGGTAATTTGGTTTTCTAGTTCATCCACAAATCTCCTCTGTGGTTCTAATAGTGAATGGCAAAATTTGCAGTTAGGTAATATATTATCCACGGCAAACTACAAGGATGTTTCAGATGAGATCACAACATTATATAGGCTAATAATTTGTAATACAGATGGGAGCAGCTAAAATCAATATTGTTGATATGCAGACTTTTGTTGAAGTGGGGAGTGACGTCATTTATATTGACGTCACTTGTGAATTATCCATTTAAAAAACACAAAGTAATTTATGGGAAAAAGTTTGCCTGGAATCCAGAATACACACTTCTTCAATATTTTACAAAGCTGTGCCTCTGAATCTCCCTGTATTCAAATGGGCATGACTGACAGGTGGATTAGCCACTCAGGGTCAAGTATGGTCCATCCATATCAGAAAAAAAGTAAGGGAACAAAATATAAGAGGCATGAAAAAC